TAAACCGATGCATGGTTATTAAGTTATTATATGCATGAAGTTTAGGGACCTTTCTGTGAAAACTGCAGTCTCAGGATTAATATCAAAACGATCTGCGGAAAAAACATGTCTCGGGCCGCATCTGAAACAGCCCATTGGGCGGCTTGCAGCTCACCTAGCTGGGCGCAGCCCAGGTCGGTGGAGGCGGCCCAGGGGGCGCTGGAGCAGGCCGCTGGAGAGGGGTGTGAAGCCAGCCCACGCGGGGTCGACGCGGTCAACGGGCGCCCGCAGGGTCGAGCGGGCGGCGGCGCTCCTCCGCGCGGAGCGGGACAACGGCGGCGGCTTGGCGCGTCTCCAGCGGTGGAGGGAGGCGGATCCCGTCGGGGATGGATGGATCCGGGTGGTGGGGGCCGGATCCCACCGGATCCGTCACCGGAGCAGGGCCGCAGCAGGGAGCCGGTGACGAACTCCATGGCGGCGGCGGCGAGGAGCACTGCAGGGGAGAGGAAAGAGGTTAGGGAGAGGCAGGGAGATGTAGAGGAGGGGCGGCGGAGCTGGCCTAGGGCTCGGCGGCGGCAGAGCCAGCCGGCGGTGGCGGGGCGACGAGGAGGGGCACGCTCCGGCGGGCGGCGGGGAAGCGGGCAAGGAGGCGAGGCGCGGTGCGGGCACCTCGGGCTCAGATCGGCCCGGGGCGGGCCACGGATGGGTTCTGGCGGGCCTGCGCGGCTGGAAGCGCGAGGAAGGGGCTGGGGCGACGCGTGGCGGCTTGTCACTGGTCCGGGGAGGCGCGCTGACGGTCCCAGGTGGCGGGACGACGGTGGCTGGCGCCGGAAAACGAGGGGGAGGCGGTTGGTGGCATGGAATTTGAGGAGGGAGGCGGCAGGGAGGTAGGGGAAGGGCTAGGCTGCCAAATTTGGAAGGGGGTGTCCATATATATGCAGGGATGGCTAGGGTTTGGGTTTAGGAGGGTTTTAGGAGCGTTTTGGAGCCTCCGATCGCGATCTGACGGTCTGGAACGGAGGGGGTTTTAGGTGGGCTGCAGGTGGGTTGTAAAAAGAGGTTGGACTGAGATGAGAGGAGAGGAGTGCAGCCCGGCAACTGTTTCCGGAGACCGAAAACGTCCGACGTTTTGACCGACTATAATGTCGCTATAGTTATCCGTTGGGGCATCAAACGAACTCCGAATGGGATGAAACTTGGCAGGCGGCCTACCTACAACATAACAACACCGCATGCCAACTTTCAACCCATTCCGAGAATATTTTCCGGCCACTTATAAAATAATATTTTGGACATGCCGCGGGTGCGTGCAAGTGTTTCTGGGCTCAGAACGAACAATGGACGGAAGTGGGGGAACCCGTACGGATGCAAGTTTTGAAAACATGATGATGCAATGCATATGATGACATGGTAAAAAAGCAACACGCAAGCAAATGACATGGCAACGATAGCAAATGACTGGAAGACACCTGGCGCATCGGCCTCGGGGCGTCACAGACCGCTATTGAACTGAAAGTAATCTAGCGATAAATAATAAAATTAATAGTGAGGCATCATATCGCAGAATCCTATGAGTGAATAGTAGCCCAATAAAATGGCGAAATGAAAATACTTTGTGTGGATACCAAGCAAAAAGAAGTTCACATAGAAACTTTCTTAGTTGCAGAGTAACAACACTACCACATATAAGGGTGCGTCGTTTGATCATTTAATGAAGCAAAGTGTAATTAAAGAGACTAACTCATCAATTGGAGTGAGATACTAATTGGTCTCTTTGTAGTGAGATGGCCTCTTTTGGGGTGAGGCGCAACTACAGTTGCTCTTTGTAGTGATTTCTCTGGTTATGGGCTGCACATTCAAAAAGCAAGATCGTAAGTTATGATTCACCGAGTTGTTTCTCTATAGTTCCTCGAGAGTTTAACAACTTAATACATCTTTTTTTTAGAAACTTGTACTTAGTAGGTCATTTGTCATATGATATATGAGATTTATTTGTTTGATGAATAGTGATAGTCAATCGATTTTCATATAAAAGTGTAGTAAGTAGTGATTGTTGCAAAGTTTACTTGGTCTTTCATTTTTATATTGCGGAAGACTGTCGTAGGGATGTTAGGGTTATTATTTACTGGAGCACCCAGAGTGGGCACATTGATTGTTTTGATGTTCTCCTTGCTACTGACCACAGTACAATTGATTATATATCTCATTGAGAACTGAAATCGTCTTCCATGATGCTACAAGGTACAAATACGGGAGATAATATACACATGGGCAGTGTACGACTGATTGAATCAGATAGTTACCAGAAACCATTGATTGACACGCAGACCCTCTATTTTCTAAAAAGTTTCCATTTTGGTTCACTGAATATCTTTCTTGATTTGAATCATTTCTGTGGTCCTCTTTGGATTTGGAAGGTGCAAGGACTCTTTGAATTATATATGTATATAAAGCCCCAATTAGGCTTTGTTGCTTTTTTTCTTACAAGGAGATGGTGATTAAGGCGACATGATAGCTGTCGAGGAGGAGATGAGAGAATATTAGTTTGTCTCTATATGAATGCAAACCATATGTCAACATGATCGACATACATTTCTGAATTATAACAATTTTTTAAGCACTATATTTTTGTTAGTCCATTGGCAACGCACAAACATTCAACTAATAATTGTCGCTATGCCTGTTGTTGACAGTTCGAGGTCAGAAGGGAGAAGTTAGATTGATTTTCTGCATGCGTGTGCAAGCTCGGTTTAATCCATGAGGCACAGTGGTATAGTTTTTTTAATATGCAGTCTGAATAAACATAGGTAAAACATTATAGCGGAATCTTGCGACAGGGGCAAAAGTTAGAATCTTGCGACAGGGCTATAACTCCTTGTCCTTGGTAGTTTGGATTTTGAAATAATTATCCTAGATAGATGCTAGAATGGGAGTAATACCCGGTAAAACACAAATTTAGCAATGGACATGCATATCTTTTAGTGACTTCGGCTTGCTTATATTGTTTGTGTTTTCAGCTGGTTTGGGCTTGGAAGCATGTCGTTGGTAGAAGGAACCCATTACCCCGCAAAAAAAAGGTAGAAGGAACCCATCATTTTGTCTAAATATTGGATGTATAACTAATTTCATGTTGTTTTCATAGTGCGCATGTGCAGTAATGCTGTATTGACACATTGATATGGTGGCAGAAATGCTCCAACACACACAATGAAATGGCAGCAAATAAGAAGCCAGTATTATGTTAGCACAAAATACATTTGGTATTTCACCTTCTTCTTTTATGTTAGCATATAATTAGCCATGTACTCCTATAGAGAAGCAAAATCAAGTAGAGAGTCTAAAGCTTGGCCAGTTAAAATAATGAGCAAGTCTTTCTTATTATGCTTTGCCTTTTGGGGTTATTTTGGTTCATTTTCTTCCTTTTCTCTTCCAGCCCTTCATTTCTCCCATAACAACCTAAAGAAGTTGATCTAATGGCAACATAAATAAGTTGCTTGGCATGGTAGTTTCTCCTTCCCAATATTTGAGGATTAGAACTTGAATTAATTCTCTAGCAAAGGTAATATAGCTAGGAAGTAGGAATTTCACAAAGTAGGAACAATTTGTCAAGTGTGCTTCTTCTGTCCTGAAATATGTCTTATCTTGTGGGGTTTCACTCACATTCCGTTTTAAGAAGCAAAATGCTCAGGTTTCAGCTGATAGGACAAACAATCAGGAAGGGAAGTATAGATATTGAAAAGAGAGCTCAGACATGGTGTCGAGAATGGAAAGGAGGGGTAGAATTATTTTTTTGTCTTCTAAATAAAGCGTGGTTAAGGAGACACGACAATTATTGATAGTGAGAAAGAGCCAAAAAATTAGTTTGTCGTTATACGGATGGAAAGCATATCACATCATGGAAACTCAGTGATCGAACTAAAAAATCACTGAGTTTTACACAATCAGAAGAAGTGCATATAAATAATTATTCTTTATATAGTTGTTGTGCATGATAATACATAAGGTGTGTTTCTATATATATTTATGTTTACAGAGTATGAGAGCGATTGAGATGGATTATGTAGACTTTCAAAAAGAATCTATCGACGACAAGGGTGTTGAAGCGACGTTGATAGAAGGCATAAAAACTCACTGTGTTTTATACAACGAAAGGTCCATAGCAACGCACGAACATTCTACTAGTTAGTAATAATGTATGTGCAATGCACGTTTATATTCGGTAGGATATTAGTTGCATGTTATATTAGGTAAGATATATCTATTGCACGTCGGTGTTTGGTAAGATATCAATTATTTGTTCACGGGAATGATAGGATATTAATTACATGGCAGATTTCATGGGATAGCGTTGAGTCAAAACGTGTTTATAACCAATAACAGTGATGGGTAATTAGAGCGTTAAACATGTTTGATGCTTAACATTGGAGCGATTTGAACCGCTAGATAATATGATTTGACGGTTGAGATGGTTTGGATCTGCCTTCTTGAGTCTTTTTATATTAATATTGATGATGCGGCTAGGATACAAAGTCGAGACAATTTTTTTTTCACTAACTTTTAAGGATTGGCTAGGTGCGGCCACGGCTAGTATAGTAAAATTTACTCCACTAACTTTACTTTGCTGTTACTCCCTTAAGTTTTAAGAAACGTGTAGGGTCGGTCCAAATTAAAAGGCGCATTTTACAGCTAGCTAGCTAAGCTTGTAGAAAACAAACAAGGTTTTCTCTGGTCTAAATTGTGTGAGTTTGACTTCCCCAGAGTAATCAGCGGAACTAATCACAAATCGTGCAGCCGATTAAGCGCCACGCCCTCAAACGAGCTCACCACGCATCATGTAACAGACACGATCATGGCTGCACAGCTAGGCACGTAGTGCACTGCACGTAATCCACGCCTCCATGCATGGCCGTGCGCGCGTAACAAAGTCCGGCTCCAACCTAGTACTCCTACTACAACGCAACGAACAAGCACAGCTCCGAGAGCAGCGAGGTGCGATCTCCGGCCTGTTCCCAACATCCGACATGTCGACGACGCCTCGAGGCCGGTCGTCGTCCCGCCGCCGCACCGGGTGCTGCAAGTGCGCTGGCGGCGGCGGCGGCGGGGGCAAGCCCTCCACGCCGTGCTGCTTCAACCCGCTGAGGTCCCTATTCCGGTGCCCCGGCCGGGGTCGTGGACGCAGCCGCAGCCGCAGTCACAGCCGGAACCGGACGGCTCCGTCCAGCGTGTCGGCGGACATCGCCACCGAGCAGCAAGGCCAGGAGCCGTCATTCTTCGTCTATTCCATGGGCAGCGCCGCGGAGAACAAGAAGAAGAAGCACAGGAAGGCGCGGCTCCCGTCCATCCGCTCCTGCTTCCGCAGCAAGAAGAAGGAGCGGAAGGCCAGCGCCCGCCGCCAACCCCTCACGCCGGCGCCGTCGATGGTGACGCACCCGCCGCGCTCCCCGCCTGCGCCGGAGAATACGCCCGCCGTGGCATCCGGCGTGACGTCGACACAACCGCCTTCGCCTGCGTTTACCGAGACCGGCAACGTTAATTCGCCGGCGACGTCCGACCGGAGAACTGCGCCGACGGGCCCCGGCAAGCAGCCGTCGACGGACTCGGCGTGGGCACCGTTCCCGCCGCAGAGGCAGCAGCCGAAGCAGCAGGTCGACGGGCTGCAGATCGTCGAGGTGGCGACCGGCGAGCGGCTGTCCGCGCACGAGGCTGCGCTCATCGAGATGGTTGAGAGCTCGACCGACGACTCTGCGGAGTCGTCGATGAAGTCGTCGCTCGAGTTCATCAACGAGCAGTCGCCTCAAACACCGGTGAAACGGATGGTGGCGGATAGGGAGACGGCGGTGGTGAAGGCTGCGGCCAGCAGGGAGGCACCAAGGCGATGGCTTAACGGCAATGCCGGCAAGGCCGGGACCGGCGCGCGGTTCACCGAGCCTCTTGTGGTGGCGGAGGCCAATGAGCTGTGGGCGCACGACATCGCTTGCAGCCGCGCCCACGCTGCCATGCTCGCTGACACGGTAAGTTTTTTCACCTGCTCTTTTTCCTTCGATTCGAGGGATTTCACGAAGAAGTGCTTGCAGCTACCGGGGCTCCATTGCCCTTGGTATTTGAAAATTTTAAAAAACACACTTCCATTGCTAAAAAAAATCTTAAATCAAATATCTGAATACATTCGCACATTCCTAAGGCCCGGTAAAAAGCTGAAAAAGAAATACTTTGTATTTTGAGAAATACAAAAAGGAGAAATTTCTGACATAAATGGCATCCATTTTTTCCTATATATTGTCATAATTTTTTTTTCTATAGCCCAAAACAAAACGAGATTTCTACCGAAACTTGCCATGGGTATTCGGAACGTGTATATGTATCCACAGGAAAAAATTCACATTTTTCTGAAACTTCAAAAACACATATTTCAAAATGTTTAAACATAGAGAGTAATGGAGCTCGGGTGCTGCAATCCCTCTCTCGAATTTCACCTGCTCTTAGCGGCATGTGGATTGCTTGTAATGCATGGGGCGTATTACGGATTTGCTAATTCGTAGCGGACTACGAATTAGTTAAACCCAGTCAACACTAAAGACCATTCTATCTCGACGCTGGGAACCGTGAATGTTTTTATGTTTCTTCAAGCTATGAAAACAGGCAGTACATCTTTTAACCTTTTAATTAACTAGATGGACGTTTTTTACAGCATCGCTGAATATTTGTGAGATTTATATCAACAAATTTATATAATCAGATGAGAAACAGTTAACTGTCAGGCGATCGAGTCCTAGACACACCTCGTATTTATACGGGTTGTGAAAATGCTGGCCTATAGTGTAAAAAGTGAAACCCAAATTTATATCCGAACTAAGCGGTGTAGAGGCCGGGGGTCACCCTCTTTTTTTAAAAAAAAATATCTGAACTAAGCGTAATTCATATGGCTATATTTCTCCTGGTGCAACCAACCCATCATGATTTTATCAGGATTTAAGTCTTAAACTTGGCATCGTTACTTCTATTTTTCTAGAATTTATTTTAGCCTTTCCGGCGATTTTGCCTATGATGGCTTTCTCGATCTTAAAATGTTGTGTCGGCTCAACATTTTGGAGATGCTCATATAGATAAGTGTCCATGTGTACATTCATAGATAAGTATATGTGCGTGTACGTGAGCATCTGCGATTTTACTGTGTTAAAACCCCAAATTTATATGTATTATAAAACATTGCTTGTTAGTGTGAAAATAGTGAAACACGATTTAAAAGAAAGGAACTAGAATTTTGATGAAGAAAAAATAATGTTGGGCTTAAGTTGGAGCTCACACACAACTACAAAACGAAATACACGTCAAGATTTTTGATGAAACACGCGAGGAAAATGAATACATAATATGGTTTTCTTTTCTAAAAGAAGGATATATTCCAGCCTCTGCATCAATAGTGCACGTAGGTGTATATTATTAATTATTGAAACAATGCTAAGCAAAAATAAAAGAAGAAAAAAAAACTCAAGGCCATCCACATCATCTCCAGTCTCACCACAAACCCTAGAAGCTATATACTTCTTCCATTCCTTTATATTAGGTGCATTTGTTTTTTGATAAAATTCCACAATGTAAGATGCGTTTGTTCTAATTCCTCGTAATTTTGTTCCTGCCCCTCCAGAAATAAGAAAGTATCTCTCACCTGATTGCATGTATCTCTCTTTGCAGAGGAAAAAAGGAAACTATCTCTCTCCCAATTGCATGTATCTATTTCTTTTCTTGCCTAAATGATTTACTTGCCGCTAATCAATGAATTAGACAAGGATAATTTCGTCCTAAATTGTCTATAGTTGCGTGCATTGGTCACCGTGCCAAAAATAATACACTTTACATAAAGAAATGGAGAGAGTGGTTATAGATAAAGGACGCAACGCTCCAAGAAAACGCCTTCAAGAAGAAATCACCACTCGTACGCTGATGTTCGCTGGTCCAACTGGATATCAAAACAAGGGCTATTACCTCCCGAAGCAGTCTTCAAAGTTCAAACCAACACCTTCAACGAGGTAACGATGCATGGACGTCGATGCTGCCTAATCCAGCTGGATCGTCATTTTTCACCCGGAGAGAGTGCACCCACAATGTTTGGCGCCATAATCGCCATCCACCACTCTATCAGCTTGTTCTCACACAGAGCTAGCCGACCAAAGAAGAAGACCCCTGATAGGGTGGCGCATCATGTCACTTTCTTGCAATGTCACCTTGACAATGGTTGTCGAACACGCCACAACAGCACCTAACAGTCATCTCCCCTAGATGCGCTGTGAAGATGCCAATGGCGGGGTGGAAGAAAAGGTACGCACCCCTCCCCATGAGATCGGGCCAATACATGAGGCTCGTGCCAGATCCACCATGTCCGATGTGCAGCGCCTTTGCCGTGCAACACCCCGCGCCCATTGGCCACCAAAGCGATGCATGGAGACACCTGGGATCGGCAGACACCGAGGCTGAACCATGTCAGACGGTCTCCGACTCTGCCGTGGCCAGATGTCCCTCGTAAACCACGGAACCACACGGGCCCAGATCCAAGTTGGAGGCTTCATGTAGAAGCTCCATGCACCTCCATTGAGCCACCTCCGCGCCCGTTCGTTGGCACCCAGACCTACCGCTTGGGACACCTTCAAGCTACTGCCAGATCTGGCCGGTGACCCAAACAAATGTGCACAAAGCCACCATGGAGCAACCTCCATGCCGTACACACCGCCGCCAGTGAAGAACGCAGATGCGCCGCCAAGACCCTTCCACTGCGGGGCCTTGCCGCACTACATGGTGATAAGCTGTGTCTCCTTTGTAACACGGGCCGCAGCCCCTAGTCCGCACACCACCACAAAGGGCAACCTTGGAGGAGCCTAGTTGCACAACCACAACAACCTTCCCGTCGCTCCCGTCTTGGCAGCCGCATGGCTTAGCACGCGACGGCCTCGAGAGGCAACGAGAGGTTAGAGAGAAGAAGGGCGACGGGAGGTCTAGGATGGGGAGAGTCAGTAGCGGCAAAAGACACAACAGGTAGATTCACAAAGTATGATTCTTGACAAATGGTAAAGACCCTAAAGTGGTGTCGGTTTTCTAGCGTTGATACCCCAAACCCTTAAAAAGGAGAAAATTACGAAACCCAACTGATTTTCTTAAGAGCATCGCCAATGTATAGAAGCAACCGGTGAAACATTGTCTCTAACATGACCAATCTTCTTGCAATGTTAGCGTGTAACTCCCAGACACAACATTATCTCTAACTTTATATGTGTTTCTTCTAAAATTTCTCACTCGCATGCAGAAAACTCAATTCGGCTACCAGGAGCACATGCTCCCGGGCCCAAAAATAATTCTCAAATTGTTAGAAAAAGTCAAGACAATTTTGTTTGTGTTCTTAGTCACATCCAAATGCCACTTGCAAATTTTGAGGCAAAAAGGTTAAGCTATTTGGTATGTGCAAAAAAAAAAATTTGAACACCAAATGTTACCCCCAAATGGCACCCTAATTTTTTTCACTGACGAAGCACTGCTGCTCCTTTTTGTGTGAAATTTGTTAAGCATGCTTGCGATCTAACACGAACATGCATAAAAAATTTAGAATTTTTTAAAAATATTCACTATATTTTTTTCATGTTACTATTCACCCAGGAGCCAAACCGCCCTCCCACTCGCATGTGCTTACATGTTGATATAAATTAATGTTTTTTGAGTAACTTTTGATATAAATTAATGTTCTATTTATTTGAGGCAGCCTCTAAGCTAACGCGCCGTTTGAAACACAGAAAATCGACACGTAGCAATAAGAAAACACACATATTAAAATGCCATGTATTCTGAAATTTTATAGGATTCTTTTAAAAGAAACTCCAAAACCGTCGTTTGGATGTCACGGAGGAAAAACACATGAATTCTAGAGACAAAGATAAGAAAATATGAGGTTTCCTACAAAATCAACATGAAATAATCAATTATGCTTGCATGAATCTTAGAGTAAAATCAATGATATAAGACTTAGATGTATACAATACTTAGAGCACATCTGGATGTGCGTTAGCAAAACTGATAATCATTCTACAAATAATTTCAAAAGAATATAAGATAGAATTTCCTTTGCTTCAAACGGCATGAAAGGAAAAGTCTCTATAGAAATCTTATCCCTTCAAATTTCTTTGACTTTCCTTCATTTCAAACACTACACTGTGGATGCTTTTAGAAGGCCACTAGAGGCAGGAAAAGTACACAGCGTGGACGCTCTAAACCCTCCCCACCTACTCCCTCGCCGCGCCGCCGCGCCACAGCCGCGCGTGCAGCGAACATCGGCGCCAGTGCCACGCTCATGGCCGCCACCTCCCATTCCCTCCTCTCTCCGGCGCCCACCTCGCTCCCCCGCGCCCGGCTCGCCTTCCCCGCCGTCCGCGCCGTCGCCCCCCGCCGTCGCCCCTATTTCCCGGCCGTCGCGGCGGCGGCCTCCTCGATGGCGTCCTCGGATGCCGACGAGAAGAAGGAGACCAAGCTGTGGGGCGGCCGCTTCGAGGAGGGCGTCACCGACGCCGTGGAGCGCTTCACCGAGTCAATCTCCTACGACTGGCAGCTCTACAAGTACGACATCATGGGCAGCAAGGCCCACGCGTCCATGCTCGCCGCGCAGGTACCTTGTGCGCTCGCTCCATCAAATCACCTGTTCTGGTCGGTATCGTGGCCGCCTAGGTGTTGGACTAGTTAGTTCCCTGCTTTCGACAAGGCTGCAGCGACAGCTTGATGTTATGCTCGCAGTGTGTTTGACGAAATTGCTACCTTCGTTGTGCTGCATTTGGTGTGATCCGCAGCTGTTCGAAATTTCTTGCTTGATTTGAAGCGTCACATTGAAGGATTGAGGGTTTAATCCTGCAGTCATTAGGGGTTTGGGTTTGCTTAGCACGTCCAAATATTTAATGGGAGCACCTCCCTCTAGCTTGTTGTAGATGTTAACTGAAATAATGGTCACCTTAGCGTGGATGTTCTGAATCATTTGCAATGCAGGGTCTGATAACCACCGGTGATAGGGATATTATCTTGGAGGGCCTTGATCAAATTGAGAAGCAGATTCAAGATGGCAAGTTTGAGTGGAGAAAGGATAGGGAGGATGTGCACATGAACATTGAGGCAGCTCTGATTGAGAAAGTTGGTGAGCCGGCCAAGAAGTTACACACTGCTAGGAGCCGCAACGACCAAATTGTGACGGATCTTAGGTTGTGGTGCCGCGATGCTATTGACAAGATTTTGATTCGCATCAAACAGTTTCAGGTTTGTTCTTGAATTCTCTTTGTGATGCTCACGGTGTGCTGCTATTAACTTGTCTGAACTCCTTGTATACAACTTGTTTCTGGTGTCTCATTCATCCGATTTATGTCCTTTGTAGACATCACGAGACATTACGGATTCATTTTTCAGTGTCATGGTCTATGTTAGATCCATTGCTATTTTTATTATTTGCGCCCGGTACACTACCTTGACAAGTAGGGAAGCTAACTGAACTGTAAAGCTATTTGTACTGATGTTTCTAGTAATGCTCAACTATGGGCAATAACTTCCAAAGAGAACTTCTCCACTCTCTCAAGGAGGGGGGGATCTACTTGGTTTCATGCATTTGGTATCTGTACCTTGTCCATACTGCTTAAGCTTTGCCAGCAATAGAAGGCAATTTGTTGTTGTGCAGAAATTAATTATGTATAACTAAGAATATCAACGGGTTCTTGTATTCAATCTAATTTATATCATATGTTCACATATTTTAATAATTGGTAACATTGTAAGTTATCCCGCTTTGCTGATATAATACTGTATTTCGCCTTTTCTGATAACTCTTCCATGGTGTCTATGTAAGATATTATTTTTATAACACAAGCATAATTCTTATTGTTTCAGGTGTCTCTGGTTTTGTTAGCTTCAAAATATGTTGACTTAATTGTCCCCGGTTATACCCATCTTCAAAGGGCACAGCCTGTTTTGTTGCCACATCTTCTCTTATCCTATGTCGAACAGGTACCCCCACCCTATTATTACTGCACCATTGCTTTTTAGTGAGTTGATGACTAATTTTCTAACTGTCCTGTAAACGAACCCCTAAACCTCCTCTCTACACTGTTGTAATCATATTTATCCACTTTATTTAACCATTTCTAGTGTGAAAATTGTTTGACTGTTTGCCACATTAGCTCTATTTTTTCCAACTACAAAAATGGGAACACACAGGACCTGTTGTGCAGAAGGGAAGTTTTTCGTTGTTGCTGTAGTTAACATTGAACTTAGCCCATTTGGATGTTACATAGATATATCCCAGTACCCAATGGAAGTAGATGGATTATCGGATGAGGTATTTCATATGATTCAAAGTCCTGCTTCAGTGCTTCATATTTTCCGTAGTCTCCTTCTGTCGTTGAATTGCTGCACCATTAGCTGGCAGGTCAAATCAGCATGACATGCAATCAAATATTGAGGTCTTACAGCTTATAACCAATCACTAACTATGTTTCTTGCGCAAGGGTTTAAATAGTGTTTCAGATACTTTAGTAATCGCCTTATAATCACCTCATTTCTTTTAGATTGAATTGTAGCATAGCTTGGAGCCTTGAATTGAAACAGAGGGCGCTAATCCAGCAAAATGTGCCCAAATTCGTAATAAGCATTAGCCAACTTAGCCTTTGAGTAATTAGTGTGTATAAGCAGAACAAGTCATATATTTTGGCGAAATTTCAGTTTAGGTGGGGTCATGGCCCACCTTGGACTGAACTAGGTTCCGCCCTAGAGTGAACCATATAACTGGAAATGAATCTGATGTTATTTTCACTTGTGATGTGCACAGTTGGAGCGTGATGCTGGCCGGCTGATCGACTGCAGGGAAAGAGTGAATTTCTGTCCTCTTGGTGCTTGTGCTTTGGCTGGAACTGGACTCCCCATTGATAGGTTCAAAACTGCTAAAGATTTGAAGTTTACAGCTCCGATGAAGAACAGGTAACCAACATCCTTGATTTCCTTAGTAGTGTGAAACTGCAAACATGTAATGCAGATAGTATGCTTTCTCTGCTATATCTTGTTGAATTGTAACCAAGATAAAGTTAGTTTATTAAATTGCATACCTTAGCACCCTTAAATATTGTACATCTTGCAAAATGAGTCTCCACCTTACATGCAAGCGCACATGTACCATATTAAATAGTTTTTTGGGGAGCACATTGATCTTACCAAAGTAAAGCTGATTGAGGGCTAATTTGGTTTGGAAGATTCCTACCGGATTTTTTCCTGTGTTTAGCATTCATTTCATAGGAATAGAGGTACTAGATTCCTTAGGATTGTGTCCATATTAACCTCATTCCTTTGGATTCTTAGCATTAGGTGAGACCTCATAGAAAATTCCTCAAATTGACCTCATTCCTTAGGATTCTTAACATTAGGTGAGACCTCATGGAAAATCCCAAAGGATTGAAGTGGGCAGGGCATCCTATTCCTCTGATTTGAAAATCCTCGAAAATGAATGAGCCCTAAAGATGTTAAGCCTGACTACATTATCATTTTGTGGCTATCTAGTAAAGAGGTGAAATATAATACAGAGGTACAAATACCCTTTTTTTAATTTGCTTGTTCATACTTGATTTACACGATTAGTTATTCAGACAACGACTACCATTTTTCAAGTTTTACTGCTGGAATATTCCTGTGCAACTGAAATTATAAGCGATGCTAATAATTGAACTAACTCTATGCTTTCTCTCTCTGATATAAGCGATGCTAGGAATTGAACTAACTCTATGCTTTCTCTCTCTGAATTTCCTCCTTTTGGGTTAACCACACCTTTTGACATTTGTTTCGGTATTTGATTATTCTTTTTCTGCAGCATTGATGCAGTGTCAGATCGTGACTTTGTTTTGGAGTTTCTTGCTGCCAACTCTATTGCTGCTATTCATCTTTCCCGCATTGGCGAAGAGTGGGTCTTGTGGGCATCAGAGGAGTTCGGGTTCTTGACACCAAGTGACTCGGTGTCAACTGGAAGCAGCATTATGCCACAGAAGAAAAATCCAGATCCGATGGAGCTTGTTCGTGGAAAATCTGCTAGGGTTGTTGGTGATCTCATGACTGTCCTGGTCCTCTGCAAAGGCCTTCCACAGGCCTACAACCGTGACCTACAGGTGCGTCTCATTCTTGTAGTTTAATTATCCAGGCTTGGTTTCCTGTGCATGTTCTGAAAAGTTCCTTTTCGAGCAGGAAGACAAGGAACCCTTGTTTGACAGTGTGAAGGCCATACTAGGAATGCTTGAAGTATGCAGTGAGTTTGCTCAAAATATCTCTTTTAACTCAAAAAGAATACAAAGTTCGCTGCCTGCTGGTTATCTGGATGCAACAACACTGGCAGATTATCTTGTGAAGAAGGTAAATACTACTCTACTTAGTCTGAATTAGCCATAGGTTTACAATAGGAATTAAATTAATCAGCATATATAAAAAATAATAAATGCATGAGTAAACTGACTAGGATAATTACATTAAGACTTATTTTGTTTCATTTCTGCTGTGTTATTACTTGACTAGGATGGTTACTCTGGTTGACTGGTTTTTATATTTCTGTTGTGCAGGGCGTTCCATTCAGAACTTCTCACGAGATAGTTGGAAGGTGTGTGGCTCTATGCGTGTCGAAGAACTGTCAGCTGACAGAGCTTGAAATGGACGACTTGAAAGCGGTTCACCCTGTCTTCGAGGCCGATGTGTACGCCTATTTGGGTGTGGAAAACGCCGTCAACAAGTTCATATCTTACGGCTCTACGGGTTCAGAACAAGTAAAAAAACAGCTTGAAGATTGGCGCGTTCAGCTTGGGATCAACCCATAAGGCGCGGCATCAATAGAGGAATAAATCCCCCAAGTCTAGTGTGGCCGTTATTTATTTTGGGAGGTGGATTGTAGTGTTATGAACGTGGTTTCTGGACGAGAGACAGTCTGCTGTTGCTTCATTTGAGAGTTGGAGTGATCCGTTCGACGTCTTTTATTTGTAAGGCACTTGCAATTGTACTGAAAAGGCTGTGTATGTTTGATCTCCCGTCACGAATCCAAAAAGGATGCCCATTAGTTTACAGAGGGAGTATCTATGTTTATGTCCAAACAGGTCACTGGTTATATTTATGTTTTAAACGTCACCATATTATGGCGACCAGATAGTATAGGCACCACCAGAAGACAATTGCACACAAAGCTGAAGCTTTGTTGAGATAGTGATGGAGCATGATTGACGATGCTACCTACCAATGCCTTGTGAGTTCCACCAACACGACCAAGCACGGTTCATTTCAGCCACACACATACAGTACGAGCGAGGCAGGCACATACCAAGCACGGTCCATTTCAGTCACACACATACGAGCGAGGCAGGCACAACTCTGGCGCTCAGCTCAGCTCACAATGGTCTGCACTCTGCACCGCAGTCATGCCCCAGAGTTTTACACTACATATGTACAGTTACATAGCAGCAGTGCAATCATCAGACAGCTTGCCTGTGATACACCGTGCGGCTACCACTTATTACATCTTCTTGCCAACTCCCACTTAATCACTTGGCAGGACGAGTCAGGCCGCCGCGTCGTCCACCTGCTGCCTGCGCCGCTTATTGGACTCCTTGATCTTCAGCAGCTCGTCGCAGACGATCCACGGGAAGCTCCAGAACTGCTTCTTTCCAGGCCGGCGGTGGTCCGGGTGATAGGTCACCCGGTACCACGCCGAGGCCCTCCTCGCCGCCTCCGCCTTCGGGCAGCTCATGAACCAACCCCGCACCTCCTTGTGCAGGCCCTCGACAGAGTCGATGATGCGGTCCTTCATCTCGAAGTACCTCTTGTTGTCCTTCTTCAAGTACAGGAGCCTGTTCCGGATGTTGCCAGTCAGGATCTCGTCCTCGTGCTCCGTGCCGTAGTAGACCATCAGGGTGCTCAGCTTCTCCACGTACAGGTCATAGCACTCCTCTGCGGATGCCAGGAATTCCTCGAAGCCAGGGACCTCCAGGTCGGGATCAAACGCGGGGCTCGGTTGAGCCGAGGACGAGGTGGCAGGAGCGCTCTGCATACGGCTCGCAGCCGCTCGGTAGAGCTTGCCGAGAGCTCCGTCGGAGATGTACGTTGGTTTGTCCCACCGTTCCATGAAGTCGGGGTACTCCTTTGGTCTCAGTGACCGCGGCATTTCAGCTGGAGCTCCTGACTTGGCAAAGTCGACCGCCATCGAATGCAAAGCAGCTAGCTGGAGGCACTCAGGGCTCCGGGCTTTCATTGGATGACGATCCGCGTGGACCAAGTGAGCAGTTGAGATTGCCCCGAGCGAGTCATTTATCATGTAATCTACAAAGTACTTCTGAATTTCCTGCAGCTCATTAGATGTTTCTGTAAGCTTTCAGGTATAAACATGTCGGGCAAGGAAAATACATTTGCTTGTCGAGAAGAAAACTCTGAACTGCTTATTGGAGCCAACTGGTAAATAGTTGTGAACCTACCAAGGCTAGAGATATAAATTGAAGAACATTTTAAAGGCAAGACCACTTTAAAACTCCATCGCGCACAACTGTTTTCATTAGAGGATGGCAAAAATGTCTTTCTTTCTGAAATAAGTACCCACATTTCTACATAACGTTATTAATTGTGTGTGGCTAGCATATATTTGGTTCAAAGCATTCAAAATTCTGTGTTGGCTGTTATGCCATCCTGGCTGAGTTCGACGCTCATAGCCAGTTATCTCTGGCTGTTGTGCACTTACCTTTAAAGTTTCCCAGGAAATATGACACCCTCTGCGATCTGGTTTTTATCGTTTCTGGTCCCATTGGTCGGCTGGTGTTGACACAATGTGCCCTGGATCGCTGCTTTAGGGAGGGGGGCGGGGGCGGACACGCCTCTTTTTTGCCTCTTCATGGACAGCGTGGGGAGGAGAAAAGGCAGTGGGCAGCTTTGTGGATTTGCTGGATTGATTGCGCGTGGGGGCTTCGAGGGGCAGTGCTGCTCCAACCGGCTACCGCATCAACAACCACAGGAACTACTTGGTAGTGTGGTTACCTCATTCACGTCGACATCAGTTGTTCATCCCTGAAGGTGAAGTTCCTATCCTTTATCTGATGGTTCGCTATAGCTCTTAATGGAGTTACATATAGGTTCCACACAATCCATCGAGGGTTGTTGGTGCGTCTTCATGTGGCGGCCGATGGAACTTTGGTTGTTCGATTATTGGGGGTGTGGAAGATGGACTCTAGCTCGGGCTCACATGGTGCGGCGAAATCGGCCTGAGGCACTTAGCACGCAGGGATAGAGAAAACAGAGAGGCAGGAAAGGAGTGGCCGGCCAGACTTAGTGTTTGAATTTTCAGGTCACTTGCCCTATTTCTCCACTCCAACTAAATTAGTAAATGAGCTGTAAACTTAATTAAACTTGACATGAGTGCAATATAGAATGCTGGTGTTCCATTTTGAGTGCATTCACACCGTCAGGTACTTGATGTGTTCAGTTACACAATTTCAAAATAGGCTAATATTATCACAAAATTTTCAGCAGTGACCACTAGAATGTTTGTCAGGTTACAAAGAATTGGAAGAAGGACGCACTTTTCACCAAATTTGGAAAGTGCGCGGCTCAGTGTGGTGTTATTGCTTATTGATAACGTCCTGGATTTGTCAAGTGGTAATGTTGTGGTTTAACAAAATAACTTTTCGTCAGACCTAACAGAGTTAAAGCAGTCAAAAATTAGACCACCGGGACAAGAAAGAGAGAAACATGGAAAGAAAGAGAGAAAAAAAAAGATGTGAAGCCTTCTTATCTCTTATCAGTATGCAAATAGATGAACAACAAGTACTTGCTTAGTACTGGAGCTATCATGCTAATTGTTTCAGGTTTGTCTGTTTGGAAAGAAAAGCACTGGAGTTAGGAATATACTCCCTCCGTTCCAAATTACTCGTCGTAGAAATGGATGTATCTAGAACTAAAATACATCTAGATGCATCCATACCTACGACAAGTAATTCGGAACGGAGGGAGTAGGTTTCACATCAAAAAAATTGGCTGACATGCATTGCAACTTGCCACTGATTGGTAAACATCATCTCCTCTATTTATTGCTCTTAACGAGTGCACCTACAAATCAAAGCCTTATATATAGTGTTGATGTTGTATTCATAATTCACCCTGTTTTTATTGTTCCGCAAACATAAATGTCAATTGCTAAGAATTACTTGATCAAATTGCTGTAATATGGGTAGATGAGACATATTTCTGGTGGATACTGCATATCAGTTCTCTTTTGTAGGTCTGAATAAATGCACGGTCATATTTGTATTCTCTTCTGTCGGTTTACAGTCCTTGTGATGATTACATACTGATGTTTTCATATATTTTAATCTTTTTAACAAGGGGATGTGAGGAGCTTTATCTCTACCAATATAAAAAGACCCTAGGGGGCAGATCCAATTAATCTCAGACATCAAATAAGGTCAATCCAACGACTCAGATTGCTCCAATGGTGAGTGCTCAACATGTCATCGTCAGCACTAATCACACAATTAACACGAAAATGATATCTTACCTATTATCTTTATGCAATTAATATACTGCCTAATATTAACGTGCATTGCATGTACGCATTTACTAGTGATTAGAAATAACCATAGAGACCCTCAAATAATTTGATTGAAACAAATCAACCAAGTTGTTAGTTGTTCCTTCCATTTATTATTTTGAACAAAACAAATGCAGGCAGCTATTTTCAAAGATGTGACTATGTGAGAGATCTCCAAACCTCAGTTAAAATGCCGCACATGGTACTTATCTCTTGCAGTTAGATCTCTTTGGTTGTGTGTTTGTCTCTGACATTCCTTCCCCTGGAGGTTCTTTCTACTCTGATGAATCTTTGAAAGATGTGATATTGGTTTGGTATGATTATCTACTAATCACATAAGTATTATAGGGGTCGGCCTCTTTCCCTCCATCAGAACTCTACTTACTTCACCTGTTATGCATATTATGTTTTCTGACCAAGTGAGAGGCACCTTATTCCTTTTGTGTGCTTCAACAACCTGTAATGCAGTGCTCTCCAATTACTCAATCAAACTTCAAAGGTAAGCTCCTTATCTTGTTTCTTGCTATAACTTTTGCAATTATGTGTCAGTTACGCTGATAAGGGGGAAAACACAGGCAGGAAAACGGTCGGGTGCAGGATACACTTTGCTGCTGCCATTGTGTGACTGGAAACTGACACATCGGCGTGAGGGCTTCTACGTCGCTGTGCTCCGCATGGCGGCAGTTTGGTTGGGTGTTTATAATTTAAATTTGTAATCAGCACCTTCCATTACAATGGTGAGTTGCGCATACACAAGCAGTCTACTGTAAGATGCATATTAATTTGTTTTTGCAGGTTGATACGAAAAATATACTCTTCTTTTGTGGATGTGCCTTATCTGACATGGGAAAGATTTATCTCAGAAAGTTTATATGATTGGACATAATAAAATCTCTACTTTTTGGAACGACCCTTCTTTTATCTACTCCCTCCGTTCAGAATTACTTGTCTCGGAAATGGATGTATCTAGACGTATTTTAATTCTAGATACATCCATTTCCGAGACAAGTAATTTCCAACGGAGGGAGTATATACTTCCATAGCGTCTCTGAAAGTATGTGCACTGTGCAAGACATAGCCACTGTCCTTTTGGTTCTGGAAGAATAATATTTCATGAATTGCGTGATTATGCTTTGATGAATGCTCCCGAGGAATCAAGCTTGCTTGAAGATGTAAGTTTATTTGATGGTCTTGTGACACTTATGAATTTTTATATTATTATACGCTCATGTTGATACTAAAGGTAACTTTGGATAACTTCCTACTTATACTGCGAATGATGATCTGTCTGACAATAGAATTTATTGGGAGGTTGCCAATGCCATTGGTTTCACTCATCTCACTGAAGCTCAATTGATTCAGGTCCCAAACTTGTTTGCATGTTTAGGTTTCTTTACTGGCTATGTTATTCAAGATCATCTTTATTCTAATCGATGCTTCCAGGAGGTCAGCTTCGTAGTCCAGTCTACTAGATCCCACACTGTAGTTTTTCTTTCCCATTTTGTCAACTTCAAAATCTAGCTAATATATCTTGCCAGGCTCTCTGGGAGCCCATGAACCAATAGGCAAGCAATAGAAAGAAGTTGTTCAAAATGAATGATGTTAGCACGTGATTTGTTTGCATCAGAAGTTTTTATTAAAGAATTCTTTCTTTGATGATTTATAACAGGAAACATGGCATAACAATGGAAAACGGTGCGCCGAAGCGCGCATTTTCTTCTAGTACTATTGAAATGCTACAGACTGTAAAAAACTGATATTTTGATTATATTTGCAGTTGCAAGTATAAAAATTGATATTGGTCAAATAAGACAATCTTCGTTAAAATTAGCGGCAACAACCTAGGAAGAGAAATTAAAATGAATAAACAGTAAGGAACATACCTCAAGTGTAACAACATGATCCATTATGCGTGGCCTTGCTGCAGTATAGTCCATAGGTGAATCAACCTTCTCTGGAATCAGTTTCTCGTCCCAAGTGATAAAATAGAGGTCACCGTCCAAATCGCCCCCGGAGCATTCATTTGGATGAGGCCTGATTAACATCAAAGATTAAAGTCTATATGGACGAGGCCTATTAAACATCAAAGATTAATTGAAGGAGAAAGCAAGCAGTGGCAACATCCATCAATAGGTAGAGATGTATGTATGTAACATGATTGGATATCTATCTAACATGGAAAGGAACACGCTGACAAACACTTCAGTAGAGATTTGAGCTCCTCTGAAGGCATTGACAGAGCAATATAAACTCTAGATGATCGTCTTTCAGTTTCAGTATAGCATACGGCATTACCTTTCTCCTCTTTGAGGGAAGACAACACAATCAACCAGGTTCTTAGCGTACAATCCATGGTCATAGACAGCTTCAAGTACTCTGATGTCACCAGGATGGAGACAAGGATTTTTCGATACTGCAACTCTTCCAACAACAACTGCTGTTTTCTCTGTCCCATTATCTTCAGAAAAATACGGTTGACAATTATCCTTCTGCTCTTTGCTGTTCTTTGAAATTCTGATGTACACTTGACCATATTCTAATTCACCTGTTTCGTCCAAACAACCAATAAGAACACGGCCTTTCGGAACATGAATCTTACATCTAGTTCTTATGTCAGTCAGCCTATTATCCTGATGGGCCTTAAGAATCATCAACAGGTAAGGCTCTAAACTTGGTTCATAACCTTGCAGTAAAATTTTCGATGCTGTCTTCGTTTCTGCACTACCAATTTTCCCCAGAACAGAGAGAGCAGCTTCTCTGTTGGTCAGCATTTCATCTAATTCACGCATATCATCTTGTTGCATCAACTCAAATATCTCATCTCTTATCCCCAAAGTTGAAAGGAGAGAGATAATTTCACGATTCATATAGCATGGTTGGGATTTGCTGGTACTTGTAATGTTAAACATTCTGCTCTTTGATTCGAATTTCTTCATACTAGGTCGCAGAGAAAGATTACGAAAGGAATCAGGGTCGACAGCAACAACTCCTTTGTAGCCACCATACCTTATTTGAAAAGCTGAAGGAGGGTTAGTATAGTCTAATCCAATTCGGCAAGCCATTTCTTTAGCAAATCTCTCAGAGATCTTCCCGATACCATCAGAAAATATGTATTTAGTGCCATCAGTTGTGACTTCAATATCTGGAATCTCTTCTACATCCCGTGGTAGGATTTCAAGTGTTTGTCTGGAGGAGCTGAACAGCTGTCCCATTCTAGCCGCACACTTAGATACTGATCGAATTTCTTCAAAGTTGCCCATCCACCTTCTTATATCCTCGGCCTTCAGGGAATCATTAGAGGCAAACATCCAAACAGAACTTCCACGAAGTTGACTTGCTGAGAAGGCCAGGAATTCATACTTCTTTGGACCAATGCAAAATCCTTCTTTCAGGATGGATAAAATATGATAATATAGGCCAGTTTTCAAGGGTTGAGAAAAGAACCCTCGTCCAGTTCTAGCTGAGATAGCATCTGGAAAAAGCTTACTCCAGTCTTCGTCGACAAAAGTAACTCTAGCAAAGTCAGAAGCATACTGTTTGTGATGCTTAACCACATAATTTGAAACTTCTTCCTCAGGTCCCAAGCAGTATATTTTGGATGGAGTGATGTGAATTCTGTAACACATCATTAACTTTCCTTCACCTTCAGTCTTACTGGAAAGCAAAGCATTGTGGCTCCTATTCCTGCTCTGAGCCTCCTGCTGGATGAATTGCAAAGGTCCATAGCATGTAAACTCTAACTTGCTCATTTTCTCAAAAATCCTCGTTGAAATATGAACTGGTATTTCTTCAAGAGCTTTAAACAGATCAGCATTAACATGTTTGGCAACTATCTTCCCCATGTGAACAAGAGAATTGAGACGAAAAAGAACTTCATACGACACTGAACAACCACTTGGGCAGTCAACAAGGGGAACGACTTTGGACGACGGGCCAAAAAATTCCATTGAAGAAATGACCAATTCCCCTAACTCTCCTGAGAAAGGTAAGCTGTTGAGAATAAATGACACCGGTGCACCTTCATCGAGCACGAGGGCAATAGTTGAACACTTCCCAAAAGAGTGGTTAGGTGTAAAATCTAGTGCTCTGACCCAGGTAAACTTCACATCCTCCTTGCATGCATGAAAGCGGTCATCTGAGAACCTTGAATAAACTGCAGGCCCAGAAATTGTTGTGTATATTCTTGGTGCATACATGAGCTGAAACAAATATTAAATTAACATTAGTCAAGATAATATATATTTTACCAACTGCAGAATTATAGAAAGAATTAAAAGTGAGTTGCGCCTGCCCAACTTATAGTCTAAGAAGTATGACAATCAGTAAATTTAGAAAAGTAACGGTGATGCGTATTCATCAGGTAAGCTTCATATCCATTTCACTCTAATTAGTAACCACCAACGGAGTGGAAATAAAAGTAGCACCGCTATCCATCTTACTTTATGGGCTCTAACGCATAATTGCAAACCAGACTACTGTGATGGTTCACTCTAGTTTACTGACTCGAGAATTTGCCAATTTTTCAGCGCACGCAAGTATTGAGGGAGGAAGTACAACTAGAGCTTCCTTTTTCAAAGTTCAACCACAAGATGTTCCCACATTTGACATACTGGATACCAGTAGATCCATACAATATCTTGCTGTAACATTTCCCGACATATAAATAGTTAAAAAACTGGTAGCGCATATTATCTATTTTGGCACTAAATGCTCCAGAAATTTGTCCACCACATGCATTGGAAAGAAAAAGAAGGCACATCCAATTCATTAATCCAACAGGACATAATTTCGTACGAGCCAGGGTTCTGAAAGCCCATTAACTAAATATAGTTATGTCTAAAAACAAGCAACTGTTTGGATAGTTAGGACATCACGTAGTGAAACAACTCTATATGTTTTAGACTCGGGTGTGTTTGTTTTGGCTCTTTTTACTGGCTCCTACAGCTTCTGTCCCAAAAAAGACAGGGCCCAAACAAACGGGCTGTTTTTGCACCAGCTCCACGCAGCCCTCCCATGGAGCGCTCCGAAAAAAAATTGAGCAGAAGCCACAGGTGAGAAATCGGGCTTCTGCTCGCAGCCGGCTCAAAAGTGACCAATGACCGATTTGTCCTCCCACAAAATCACATACTACGGCAGAAATGCCCTTACCGGTTTGATCAGTTCCCATCGACCCAAGCAGTTTTCCCCTCTGTCCCTCTCATCTCTCTCACAGCAGTGTCCCTCCCGCCACTGCCACGGAGCCCGCGAATCCCTCTTGCCACCGACCCCACTGGCTGCCGCCGCGGATCCCGCTACTCCCTCCCGCCGCCCCGAGATCCCTCGGCAACAGCGCCGCCGTCACGAGTTGCCTCGGCAACGACGGACACCGCCTCGAGTTTCCTCGCCAACGACGGTCGTCGTCCAAGTTTCCTCTCCCTCCTCCGTGCCGAATCGAGCCAAGATGGCTGCATCGGTGGTGGTCCTTCCCGGGTCAACACTGCGCACGCGCAGCTGCTAGCGAGCCCCCGGGCATGCCTTTGCTTGCCAACGAGCGACGACACACGTCGTTCCAGTGCGGCTCCACCTGGTCCTTCCCATGTCAACGTCATGCTGCTCCTCAGGCATTCCCGGCCTAGCCCCTCTGGCCGCCGAGCTCATTCCAGCCATCTCCGGTGTGTGTGCGTGCTCTTATGGGCTTGCCTAGCGAGTGTCGTGTCCGGCGTGTGCGGTTGGCCGGCGTGCGTGCATGTGCGCCTGGCGTCCATGGTCTGTGTGCGTGATCTGTGTGTGTGTCCTGCGTATGCTACATGTGTTGCCAGTGTGTGCTTGCGTGTGTGCCCGCTGGCTGCCAAGGCTCCCTGCTAGAATGTGGTAATATTTGTTGGTGTGGTCATCCTTTATGTGTTCGAGCGGCCACCTTTGCAACTGTCTAATATGTCAGTGGGGAATTTATTATCATACGTCTAATACATCATATTCATTTAACTACACTGCCTTTACCATCAAACTTGTGTGATTTCAGGTCAAAATCTATGAAAATTGACCATCTGCGACAAAAAGAGCTCTTAATCGAGCCATTTACTGTTAAAATAGTATAATCAGCACTTAAACCCTACCTAAAAAGCAACAGAGGGCGTTCTGGTTATTTCAACACGTTTCAGCAACAGCCGCAGCTGCTACAGCATAACTACCAAACGACTGCACTTCAGCTCCAACCTTCCAGCCGCAGCTAGCAGCTAAAGACTTCATGCAGCTATGTGGTACAACTCCCATCCTCTGAAAGCATTGAAGAGATCATTCTCACTCCTCCGCTAGCACCTGAAGCCCCACTGAGATTCAGCAAGCGTAACATCTCTGGAATGCAGGACAAGGCCAAGAAAATGGCTAGTAAGAAAAATCTGGAAGGTAATAATACTCCTGCTTTCAAAAATTCATTTGATGTGCTTTCTGATAATGAGTTGATTAGCAGAGCTAATAAGATAGGGATAGAAATACCCAATGATGATTTCGTTGTTGTTGACATTATTAGAGAGCTTGAATGCGCCCGAAAAGAATTAGAAGATAAAAAAGAAGATAATAATACTGAAAAAGAGCAGGATAACTTGATTGTGACAGATGGTTTGGGCAGGGATACCCCTGTGAATTTAGAATGGTTAGACCAGGAAGAACATATTTATGAGCGTGTTTCTTCTGTTAAGCCTAAGAAGAAAAGGCATAGTAAATCTAATGTCAAAATTCCTAGGCCTGTGACTAGGAGTCAGAAAAGAAAAAATGCTGAGAAAGATTTGTTATGTAACCCTGCCCCGTCTCCTGGTAGGGTTACTCGGGCCAAATTCCACAAAAAACGTTCCAAATGAGAGGCCTCATTTGGAACTGTCGAGGGGTGGGCAAGAAAGGGATGGCCACCTGCCTCTCAGACATGATTAGTGACCATTCCCTTGACTTCATGGGTCTACAAGAAACTATAAAGAAAGAGTTCACACCTAAGTGTTTGAGAAGAATTGACCCCTTTGATTCCAATGGAATTGGGTGCCCTCTGTGGGCAAATCTGGGGGCATTTTATGCGGTGCGAGGAGAGATACTTTTGATATAGTATCCTGTGCTAAGGGCAGATATGTGTTACGACTAGTGCTGTATGACAAAAAGAAGAAAATACAGTGGGGTTTACTGGTAGTTTATGGATCAGCACATGATGAGTTCAAAAATGAATTCCTGGTTGAGCTAGCATCCTTTTGTAGTGGCATGACCGTGCCCTACATAGTGGGGGGAGACTTTAATATCCTGAGACATTCGGGAGAGAAGAATAAGAAGATGGTGAACAGCAAAGCCACTGACCTGTTTAACTCCATTATCAATACACTAGCTCTTAGGGAAATTCATATCAGTGGGGGGAAATATACCTGGACCAACAACCAGACTCATCCCACGCTAGAAAAACTAGACCGAATCCTTATGTCTGAATGCTGGGAAGATATCTTCCCACTGGTCTCTGTGAGGAAATTAGTTCGGGAGATTTCTGATCATAATCCACTTCTGTTGTCCTCCGGGGAAGAGGGACGCGAAGCCCCGAAACCCCGTGAATTTCGCTTTAATCTGTCCTGGATCAATGATGACAAGTTCCTGCCCACTGTGAGGAGGATTTGGGCTAGGAATGTTGCTTCGTCAGATCCAATCGATGTCCTGAATATCAAGCTGAAAAGATTCAAAACTTATTTCAAAGGTTGGGGTTCGGATAAGTATGGTCACGATAAGAAGAGGAAAGAGGACTTATGTATGGAACTAGCTATGCTTGAGGAACTGGAAGAAGAAGATATGTTGCCTCCTGACTTATATAGTAGAAAAATGGATATCAACGCTGAGCTCTATGAGCTCCTGGTAAATGAGGAAATATTTTGGCTTCAACAGTCTCATGAGCGCTGGTTGCTCAAAGGAGACCTGAATACTGACTATTATCACAAAATTGCTAATGGGCGGAAACGTAAAAATGCAATCCAATCACTTAAAATGGGAGAGACATTGATTGAAGGCACGGACAATTTGATTGCACATGCCACTGAGTTCTACAAAGAACTGTTCGGACCAGCCCCTGGTAACCAGATCCATCTTGATCCAGGACTTGGTCGCCTGAAGAGAAATTATTCGAAAAAGATAATAAAGATCTTTGCCGAGAATTTACATAACAGGAGGTCAAGGAGGCTCTATTTGACATGGCCCCTAATAGAGCCCCTGGACCCGATAATATCCCTGCTGAGTTCTATCAGGTGTGCTGGGATATAGTTAAAGATGACATTATAGCCCTTTTTAAAGCTTTCCACCAAGGGACTCTGGATGTTCAGCGACTTAATTATGGAATTATTACTTTGCTCCCTAAAGTTTCTGGAGCCGAGAAAATCCAACAATTCAGGCCTATTTGCTTGTTGAGATGCCCATATAAGTTGATCACCAAAGTCCTTGACCGAAGAGTTGCCATATATGCAAACAAACTCATTAGCCCTACTCAGAACGCCTTTGTAAAAGGGAGAAATATCATGGACGGTGTCCTGTCCCTCCATGAAATCCTTAACTACACTTATGTTACGAAGAAAGTGGGAATTGTCCTTAAGTTGGACTTTGAAAAAGCCTATGATAAGGTGAATTGGGACTTTCTCCTAGAATGCCACAAGATGCGGGGCTTTGATAAAACTTGGTGCGGATGGATTGAACAGATACTGCATAATGGGACAGTTAGCATCAAGCTTAATGGTAGTGTTGGGCCGTATTTTCAAAGCAAAAAAGGGGTAAGGCAGGGGGACCCACACTCTCCTTTCTTGTTCAATCTAGCAGTTGAATGCCTCACTAAAATGATCAAAAATGCCCAAAAAAACAAACTTATTGTGGGCTTGGCTGCCGACCTTATTCCTGATGGGGTGGCGGTCCTGCAATATGCGGATTATACAATCATTTGTATTGAAGATGATGTTGATAAGGCTGTCAACCTGAAGTTGCTACTATATATGTTTGAAATGATGTCTCGCCTGAAAGTTAACTTTCAGAAAAGTGAGATTCTCACTGTGGGTGGAGATGAAAGTGTGGTGAATAAATACGCAGAAATCTTTAATTGTGAGGTTGGCAGCTTCCCACTCAAATACCTGGGGATGCCTGTGAGTTATGCTAATCTAAAAACTTCTGATTGGGAGTTTATTGTTGGTAAATACCTAAAGAGGTTCGAGGCCTGGATCGGCAACGCTGCCTCAATGGGGGGGAAGACACACTCTGCTTGATTCTGTTGTCACACAGATCTCTCTCTACCACATGTCTATGTGGCTCATGAATAAAACCTTCATTGAGAGGCTAGATAAACACAGATGCAGGTTCTTTTGGCAAGGTTGCAACAAAAAAAGGAGATACTATCTTGTTAAGTGGAGCAAGATATGTAGATCCAAAGACAAAGGGGGGTTAGGTATAGAAGATCTTAGAAAGCAAAATATTAGCCTCATGGTTAAATGGTGGTGGAAGTTAGAGACACAAAACGGGCTATGGCAGGATATAGTCCGGGCCAGGTATCTTCGCAACACCTCTGTTGCTGAAGTTTCTCCCAAATTCTCCGACTCGCCCTGTTGGAAAGCCTTGCTCAAGATTAAAAACATATATATGATGGGCAGAAAGATTGAAACTGGTGCTGGGAACTTGATTAGACTGTGGAAAGATCCAATAAATGGGTTGATCCCATTTCAGGATCAATATCCGCGCTTGTTTGAGATCTGCAATTACCCAACGAGTACCCTGGACAATAGAGATAGACTTGATGACGCCTCTATGTTCCGATGTAGGCTTACCCCTGAGCTGTCCAAACAGTGGGAAGATATGCGTGCTGTAGTTAATAGAATTCCGATCGTATTTTTTGGGGACTCAACCAGAATGGCAAGTTCACCACTAAGTCAGTGTATAAGATGTTGGAGAAACCTCTAAGTGGGTGCCATTATAGATGGATTTGGAAAGCCAAGATCCCTCTTAAGATCAAAAAAATTCTGTGGCAAATGTCGCAAGACACAGTCCTTACTAGGCAAGTGATGAGCAAACGGAAATGGACAGGGAATCCCTGTTGCTTTTTCTGCAAACAGATAGAAACGGTGCAACATCTGTTCTTTACCTGTCCTGTGGCCAGAATTGTCTGGCGATCTATTGGAGTAGTTCTTGGCACTGATAGATGTCCGTCGAACTATTGGCAATACTTTGTGTGGTGTCACAAATTCCTTCCTGGGAAGCAAAAGTTTTATACAGTGGGCTTAGCGGCCGTATGCTGGGCCATTTGGCTGGCACGCAATCGAGCTACTTTTGAAAAGAAACAAATTAAGACTCCCTTTGAGATTGTGTTTTCTCTCTGCTCTTTTCTACTCTACTGGACAGGGCTACAACAAGGAGAGGACGCCAAGGAGCTTCGCGCTGGAGCTGAGATGATCAGGACTGGCACAATGCAGTTGATGAAGATGTGTGGTGCTGTCAAGCAACCAATCCAAGGTGCCTGATGTTCTCTGGAGATGCGCTGGATGAAGAGATGACAGGCGCGCGATTTCGATACTGCTTCCCCCCGGAGAAGATTGTTTTCTGTCTTCTTGGAATGCAACTGTGTTTTGATACTTGATCCGATCTTTTGAGGATGTAATAGGATAGATGTAATGTCGTGCTATCCAGGTTTTCGCCCCATGATATTCGTTTCGACGGCGAGCGAGTATGGTGGGTTTCCTGGTAGTGCTAGAACTCGCTATACCTCTTTCCCTCCTCCTGTCCTTCTCGCTTGAACTGGTTGTATTTCCGTTCTCTGCAATGGAAAGGGGTAAAAAGCCCGGTTCTAAAAAAAAAAAAAGCTAGCAGCTACAGCTGCTCCTTCCAGCAGGAGCCGTTGCAGCTGCAGCCAAAGAAGTTGCAGCCCAAACAAACACACCCTAAATATACCATAACAAACAAAAACTAAAGTTTGAGAACAAACAACTGAAATTCAGTCACCACTGTACTCACGTTTCACAAATTCCAGTCGCATGCCATACCACTGAGTTAAATCAAGGTATGCACACCATGCATATCACACCTATTGTTTGTCTGCACACCATCCTTTTCTTACACCATGCATATCAAACCAACTGTTTGTCTGCACACCATCCTTTTCTTACACCATGCATATCAAACCTACTGTTTGTCTGCACACCATCCTTTTCTTCAAATAAAACTATCAGATCACACTTCACTTTCACGATTCTCATCTGTAACAGGCAAATGCGTCTTAACATTTGCAAATTTCTACCTCGCCTTGTAACCGCGATGTCTGACTAATATATAATGTACAAAGGAAAAACAGAAGCATCACAGTAACACGGTGAGCAGCTTACCTGAAGCAAGATGGCGCCGGCCCCATCGAAGCTGCACTGGTAGCAGTTCCTGATGTCCTCGAAGAACACCTCAAGCTTGTACATCTTGGAATCGTGATTCAGGTACAGGTCTATGCGACGCTTCCCCGGGATGACCTCCACGCGCACGCTGTCCCAAGAGTCAGCCGCCTCGAATTCGCGCTCGGCGACGCGGTTGCCTACAAGGAGGCGGGCGTCGGCCACGCGGAGAGAAAGGTCCGGCGCGCGGGGAAGAAGGTCCGAGGGGGCAGGGGAGACGGAGAGGAGGGAGCCGAGGAAGCGGGGTAGGCGCCCGGAGGAGACGAGTTCGGCGGCGAGGGTTGCGGTGGCGGTGGAATCGAACTGAACGCTGCCATTGCCTCGGCTTAGCCAGCCGCGTCGGGCGGCGGCGATCTCGCAGGCGTACGCTTCGCCGGCGGCGACGACGGCGGAATTGAAGAAGGCTAGGAGCTCCTTAGCGACGGCGGAGGGCGGGATATTGAAAACTCGCACCGTCGCCGTGGAGACGGGCGCCGACAACGCTGTCGCCATTGGAGTGTAGGGGGGACTGAAGGATTTGGTGTTCCGGCGGGGTTAGAGCATCTCCGGCCGTTGCCCGGCAGGGTGTGCCTAAAATCGCCGCATGGGGTGAGCCGGCACAACCCTGGGGCGAGTTGGTCCGAGGCGCGATTAAAAAAAAATATAGCAAATTTCGGCTAAGTTTGGCGAAATTCGGCTAAACACGACTAAATTTTGATAAACTTGGGCATATATTAGACATGTTCGCGGATTTTCATTATATAACAAAATAGATAACTAATCTAAAAAAGGAACTGGCTGAACTCCGAGTAGTCGCCGTCGTCGCCGCCGTCGTCGGGCTTCTCCTCCTTGACGGGGCCGTCCCTGGTGAACCCTGATCGGCGTCGCCAACGCGGGCTGGTGGCGGCGGCGCGTCGGCGTCGTCGCTGTCCTCAATGACGATGACGCCTCCTTCATCGCGGCCCCGGCGACGCTGCGCGAAGCGCTGCAGGGCGGCGCACTGGCGCTCCCTCGCCATCTTCAGGGAGTCCGCGCGCGCCCATTACAGGACCGCGTCGTCGTCGAGCTCGACGTCGCCGCCGTGCTCCGTCTTCACCGCGGGGAGGAGGCCCGGCTCCGTCTTCACCGGCACGAGCCCCGGCTCCGTCTTGGGCTTGATGAAGCGCGGAGGAGGAGCCGACGAGGAGGCGCGCCGGCCGCCCTCGTTGATGACGATGTCGGCGCTGCGAGTGCGCCGTCCGAGCGGCGTCTCCGCCGTGGGCTCGGCCTTGACGCCGAGCAACGCCGGAGAGCCGGAGGAGTGCGAAGAAGAGCGTGATGAAGAGGAAGAAGAGGAGGCACCGAACCTCCTGGGCAACAATTGCCCGTCGCGTCGGCGGTGAGCCGTGGCCGTGGCGGCCGCCCTCGTCGGGGGGTACGCCAACGGCGGGTTGTTGCCACCCTCGAGTGTGCGGCGGGGAATGCCACACCACATGCGGTGCCCCTCGCTGTTCTTCATGCCGCCGACGACCGCCGCGCCGTTGGTGGACGCCAGCCGCTGCTGCTGACGGCGCTCGAAGTACGCCGCCCAAGCCACATGGTTGTTGGCGGCGTACTGGGGGAGGGAGAGTTAAGCGGCAGTGAGGGAGGCGCGCACGACGTCGACCTCCTCGGCGAAGTACCCGGATTTGGCCACGACGTCGGGCAACGGGGGAATGGGCACTCCCCCGTTGCTGAGCTTCCAGCCCGTCGGCCCGGCACGCATGTCCGGCAGCGCCGGAATGTTCGCCTGGAACAGGAGCCAAGACTCCTGTTCGCGGAGCAATCGGCGGCCGAAGCCGTTGGTCGCGGCCTCATCGCCGGGGAACCGCTCGGCCATCGGGAGAAGGAGGGAGGGAGAGGGAGGGCTCGGCGGCGGCGCTCGGGAGAGGCATGGCTCGGCGGCGGCGCTCGGCAGAGGTAGAGAGCGGGCTAGGGCGGGTGTGGCTGGTGTAGACAGAGGCGAGGGAGGCCACCGGCTTATATAACAGCGCCGCCCCGTGTGTACGCGTGCGAGGGAGGGGAGGCGTCGGCGCGCCGCCCTGTGAAGCGCCGCCCGTGAGGAATCACTGGTAAGGCTGACCGGCAACAGCCTTGCCATTGATTCCCCACGGGAAACCGAGACGTTCGGGAAAGATGACGCGCGGTGTCGCTGATGCGGTGGGCCCGCGGCTCTTTCGCGCCAAAACCGCTCACCCCGGCGCCCCCCAGCGCGCCGGGTTCGGCCTGGATCCGCCGGCGCTAAATTCGGCCCAGGCCGACGAAAATCGGGCTCCTGGGGACGCGACTGGGCCGCTCCAGCCGCGCCCCCAGAAAGGCCTCCCCAGGCGTTTTTTTCACGCCGACGCTGAAAAATCGGCCCAGTCGCGTCCCCAGGATGCCGAAAAACGCCGGCTCGGGCCTTTTTTCCGCCCGGCGATCACAGACCGAACCTAGTGCGCTGGGGGCAGTTGGGGGCTCCGGCGCAAGGGAAAAGCGCGGCTGGCCCACATCGTCAGGGGAAAAGTCAAGGTTTTCTTCCCCGACTCGCCTCCCACCCCCCGCGCCCTCGGCCGCCAGTAGCTTTATCCTGGCGCCGCCCGCCGCCTTTCACCACTAGATAGCCATTCCACCCCGAAAAAATAGCAGAGCTTCGCCACGGCAGCCCCTCCAACAGCAGCTGGGCATTTCCGGCCGCGGAGGGGCAATTTAGCGGCGGGGACACGCCCACCGGGCGCAAGGTGTTCGGCGATTTTCCTGCCTCGGCGATGGACTCGGATGACGAGGAAGCGCTCGTCGCGCTGCTAGAGAAGGAAGCCGAGGCCGACGTCTAGGAAGAAGAGCATCTCATGGTGCTCGCCGCCCTCGCCCAGCTGTTGGTGAGCAATGAAAAGTTGCGGCGAGGTGGCTCGGCGCCGGGGCGGGTGAAAGCAAAGAACCGGCATCGTCTCAAAGGCTACTGCATGCTCTACTCCGACTACTTCGCCGATGCTCCACTTCACAGCGAGAAAACATTTCGGCGCCGTTATCGAATGAGCCGAAAGCTCTTCCTCAGGATTGTGAACTCCATCCTGGAGTTCGGCAACTACTTCAAGTGCAAGATGGATTGCACCGGCGCCCTTGGATTCACCTCCATCCGGAAGTGCACGACAGCGATGAGGATGCTTGCATACGGAGCTTCCGGTGATTCACTCGACGACTATGGGCGCATGGCCGAGTCCACCAGCATAGAGTGTTTCTACAAGTTCTATCGGGCAGTGGTGGCAGTGTTTGGACCACAATACTTGAGAACACCCAATGCGGAAAACACTGCTCGGATCCTAGCACAGAATGCAGCAAGAGGATTTCCCGGGATACTTGAAAGTATCGACTGCATGCATTGGGAATGGAAGAATTGCCCATTTGCTTGGCAGGGGATGTACAAAGGCGCCAAAGGCGGTTGCAGTGTGGTACTTGAGGCGGTGGCCACACAGGATCTCTGGATTTGACACTCCTTCTTTGGTATGCTAGGAACTCACAATGACATCAACGTGCTGCAGTGCTCTCCTGTCTTTGCCAAGCTTGTTGAAGGTCATTCTCCTCCGGTGAACTTCGAGATCAATGGGCGGCACTACAACAAGGGGTACTATCTAGCTGATGGCATCTATCCGAGATGGTCGACATTTGTGAAGACGATCTCAAACCCTGTGCCAGGAGGCAAGAACGCCTGGTTTGCGAAGGTTCAGGAGGCTTGCAGGAAGGATGTCGAGCGGGCATTTGGTGTGCTCCAATCTCGATTTGCTGTTGTCCGGTACCCCGCTCAGACCTGGTCGAAAGATCAAATATGGAAGATTATGACTTGATGTGTCATCTTGCACACATGATCATCGAGAGCGAGCAAGAAGACCCAGTGTTTGACACCGAACCATACTACAGGCAGGGTCCTCTAGTCGAAGTTGATCACCAGCTACCGGTAACCTGGACTGCCTATCTCAGTATGCGTCAGGAGATCCAAGACCCACAGGTGCATCATCAACTGCAGCAAGATCTAATAGAGTATCTATGGAGGCTCAAGAGCGACGCCGGGCGCGACGTGTGATGAAATATGAGTTTTTATTTGTTGAACTATATAATTTGTATTGAACTATTTGTTGTTATCCTATTTTGTTAAAGTATTTGATATTTCTGTGATGAAATATGTGATAAAAAAATTTATATGCATAATTGAACGCTGAACAATGGCAAACCACGCCGAATATGAGCCTATTGTCGCCCATATGGGCCCTTTATTCGTCGAAATGGGGCTGAAAGTGGGCCAATTTTGGCGCCTGGGGGCGAGCTGGGGCGACGACTGGGTGCGAAACCACCCCCAGCGCCGATTGTATCGTCGGCTCGCCCTCAGGGGCGATTTTTATGCGTCCTGGGGGGCGAATGGCTGGAGATGCTCTTACCCCTCTTGGGTTTTTTTACTAGACAATTGCACGTACTAGATTAGCTTGTGACTGTGCGTCTATTATTATATTAATGTGCTAAAAGCTTAGCAAGTTTTTATATACAATCGCCTGTTATTTATTATTAAATATTTATTTAGTAAGAATTTGATAACTTACCAAACAAAATATGTTTTTTATAAGTTAATAAAACATAAGACAATGATTCTATTTTAGAGGGGATAGATGGGAGAAAAATTAGAGATGAGAGAAAAGAATCAAAGAGAAGAAAAGAGCAGGGTATATATAAGGAAGGTTATACAAAAGAGATGTAAAATGGGGATGAATAGGTGCTTTAAAATAATTATGATTTAGGTTTGAACAAATGTGAAATAAAACTAGCATTTAATTTGTCAAGCACAAAACCTAAAACAACCAGGCTCACCTATGTGCACTAACAATTTATGGTAAGTAAGATAAACAATTAAGTGATAACAAGATATATAACATGAAACACTATGGCTATCACAAAGTAAAGTGCATAAGTAAAGGGCTCGGGTAAGAGATAACTGAGGCACGCAGAGACGATGATGTATCCCGATGTTCACACCCTTACGGATGCTAATCTTCGTTTGAAGCGGTGTGAAGGCACAATGCTCCCCAAGAAACCACTAGGGCCACCGTAATCTCCTCACGCCCTCGCACAATGCAAAATGTCGTGATTCTACTAAGGGACCCTTGAGGGCGGTCACCGAACCCGTTCAATTGGCAACGCTTGGGGGGATCACCGAACCCGTACACTTTGGCAACCCTTAGGGGCGATCACTGAAATCTGTACAAATTGCCCGAAGCGATCTCCACAACCTAATTGGAGGCCCCGACGCTTTCTTGGAGCTTTACACCACAATGATTGAGCTCTGAGGCACCACCAACCGTCTAGGACGCCCAAGCACCAGAGAGGAACAACCTCTAGGGTACCTAGCACCCAAGAGTAGTATTTACATAAAAACAATAATACTTCAATCATATTAATAAAGCAATCACGTCTTCTCAAAATAACATGGCCAAAGAAAGTTATCCCTACAAAATTATATAGTTTGGCTAAGC